AAGCTCTTCATCAGAAACGCTCTTCACTCTTCAATAGGAAAGGTGTTCTTCACGAGAATGTACGTCCACATGTGGCACGTGTATTGCAAAGTTGTATTGAGAAAGAATAAACTAATTTTATTTAAGAAAGGACTAGTATCGCTGAAGTTTTTCGGAAAGAATTTCTACGGGAAATTAACAAACGACCAGAGACGTAACAAATTGGTGTCAGAGTTTGTTTGTTTGTTTTTTGAATTTCGCGCAAAGCTACACGAGGGCTATCTGCTGTCCCTAATTTAGCAGTGTAAGACTAGAGGGAAGGCAGCTAGTTATCACCACCCACCGCCAACTCTTGGGCTACTCTTTTACCAACGAATAGTGGGATTGACCGTCACATTATAATGCCCCACGGATGAAACGGCGAGCATGTTTGGTGGACGGGGGATTCAAACCCGCGACCCACAGATTGCGAGTCGAGCTCCCTAACCACCTGGCCATGCCGGGCCCTGGTGTCAGAGAGTGGGACAGAAAGGAAAACAAATGGAAACAAGAAGTGGCAAATCAAACTACAGCTTAGCAGATTTGATGGCAGCAATACACATTGGTGTAGATGGTAAAGGATCAATAGAGGAGGAGGAGGGAAGCCAAGTCACCAGAATAGAAGTACAAGGACGGGGTGAAACTAGTCATCACTTAATAATTTGAAAGTCACAGCAGTGTTTGACAGAGAATAAGTAGTGGTTGTGGTCGCAGAAGCAGGCTGTTAGATATACACTATTGTTTCAGTTTAAGTTTAATGCAAGTTTATGGTAAGTTTTTTACGTAACTGTTTACGAATCATATGTTGTGGAGTTCAATTATTACGAACTAGCGATTGCTTTTTTTAGAACGTATTAGTGCCACTCCTATTTACAATAGTAAGATTATTGCATCATGTTGCTAGAACTTTCTGAGTTTTTCCTATTGTTTTAATTCTGTATTATTGCATCAGAATATCTACTATTGCGTGGAATATTTTAGAATTCTGTCGAAGTAAAAATATGCGTCGAAAAATTATTATTAAGTTCTAAACTGTGCGATTGTGAGTTTAGTGATAAAGAGTGTATAGTGGCGATTTTTAAAGTGAAATTATCACAGATTGTATTGTAATAACAGAGAATAGAAGAAGAATTTGTCTTAACAATTGTGTTCTAAAGTATTGAACGAGCCTGTGTGGATTTTGACTAAAAAGGGACAATTATTTAAAGCTCTGGATACAGGATACGGTTTCGTTTCATTGACTACAATTTTTCACCAGGAGCTGTGATTAAAAATTTCTGTCACATTTCAGAGATAACTGTACTTCTTCCATTACACAGTCAAATATTTGGTTTAAAAGCAGGTTGAAAAGTCTGTTGGTCTTTGTAAACGCAGATCGGCAAAGAGAAGGTCGAAATATCTGTTGGTCTTTTAAAGAAAAGATCGGCAGAGAGAAGATTTAAAAATCTGCTGATTTTTTTAAACGCAGATCGGTAGAGAGAAGATTGAAAGATCTGCACAGTTTGGGCTGGCAGAAGCATAAAGAAGTGTTATTATTTGTATATATGAAACCACAATTAAAGGTACTGTTACGTCTCTGGTCATTTGCTAATTACTTGTAAAAATTCTTTCTGAAGAACTTCAGCGATACAAGTCCTTTCTCAAATAAAACTAGTTTATTCTTTCTCAATTCAACTTTGCAATACACTTAATTTCCACAGTCACCTTAACTTACACACACACACACACGCTATAATTTACAACGAACGATTCACGCAATTTCCATACTACCGCGCTTGACTCAATTGTCCATCTATATCTTCAATCTCTCTGT